GCTGCTCCTTCATCTCCTTGGTCTCGAGGAGAGCCTGACGTCGCTCTGCCCCATCCTCTGTGGCTTTGTCCCAGTACTTTTGGACGTCTGCCGGAGTGGCCTTTTTCCAGCCAAATGAAGCAAGGCCGAGCTGCTTTGTGTTTCCCACAAGCTGACGGGCCTGGACAGTGGCAGATGATGAAGAGGGAAGCGGGGGAGGCGAAGGAAGTGAGGATGATGTGACAACGGCATCGTTCGAGCTGTCTGTCACCGGTTGTGCCGTTTTTTTGGCAGGTCGGTCGTCGATGTCACCGTCTGGAGCGGCCTTACGTTTCCCAGGGAGCTTGGCACCAGAATCGACGGCAGCCGTAATAAGCCGTTCAATCCAAGCTTCTTTGAACGAGTCGCGTTCCCCTGGAGTCATTTCTTTCACCACCTTCTTGAGGAACTTCTGAAGTTCATCATGCCGTTCTCCCCGCTCCGAAAAGCGGATAGGCCTGCCTTGGATGTGTAGAAGGTGGGTCTCGAAAGATAGCTCAAGGGCATGTCCAGCGGCAGCAAAGTAGCCACCTTGTTTGAGTCGATCTTTATCCAAATGGAACTGATACAACGAATGCGGCGGGTTTTCTGGGAGAGTTTTTGGGAGATTGCAAAGAAGATTATGAAGGTAGGTAATTCGCGAAATGAGTTCCTGAGGAGGGCCTTTTGGAATTTTTATAGCACCAATTTTGGGCGGCATCGCGAGTTCGGAGCAAATTGGGAGGAGAAATGGGATTTTCTTGCCGCATTGCCGCCGCAATAGCATCACTGAGCATGCCGTTGTTTAATCACCTATTTCGGCAAACCCAAGGCAAACCCATCCACTGGACCAGTGATGGTTGCTTTTTTAGGCAACGGTCATGGTCACGGCCATAGTCGTTGCCTTCAAAAAGTGCAACGGAAATGTCACGGTCCGCCGACCGTTGCTACACTACAGGTATCTACAGTATACTTAGTGACCGCGTAGCTTTCTCTTCCTTTCCAGGGGTCGCGTTCGAGAAATCCAATCTGTTACCATCTAGGCAGAACCAAGAGGACCGCCCTTTTTTTCAGATTATTTGTTGTCTAAATCAACACTCCGAGTCGCATCAAATTCAATTTTGGTTCATATCCTCACGGTCTCTGCCAATGACAAGCTTAGCCAGGACGTTTGCAGCGCAAACTGTATATGCATGAAATTCGCCATGAATTTGACTTGCCAAGTGCAGAAAAGACGAAATGATTGTTGCCTCGCCCTAGTTTGCGGCGCGTACGAACTACGACACCGATTACAATTTCCGAGATTAATTCCACTAGTAACGACCGTCAGTAAATACGTGATTTACAAAGCAAGTGAGTAGTCCAAAAACTCAAATGAATCTGAATAGGGTTTACAACTAAGCGCGTAGTCCAAAAGTCCAAATGACGCAATAAATCCACGCCGCGAATCCCTATAGAGCGCGGTATTATAATATAATGTGTTATGTGGGGTGTATCCTGAATTATCCGATCATAGGTGCCTTTCAGAGCCATCAGCATGAATAATGGATGGATTGTGGAGGACTCACAGCAGTTTGGCGATCCAGGCTGTAGATGATGAGCGCCGTGTGCTGAGAATTTGGGATAAATGGGTAGCGTACCTTTCAAGTTCGCCATGGAGGGCCCGGGGGGGCCGGGCAAGAGCGTTGTGGGGCACTGAGCGCAAGTCTCCTAATCAGCAACAATATAGAATACAGAACGCGAATTGCCGGAAGGAAAGAGGGATGAGGGAAGGAAGGAAGGGAAGGGAACGCACAGTGAGCTCGAGATCGAGGAGTGTTTTGCCCTTGGGCAACTTCGCCATCGGGGGTGCGGGGAGCGTGGGCGGCGGGATGACCATGGAGCAGTCCTGCAGCGCGCGCGCGTTCTGCCCGATCAATGCCATCTTGGCCATGGCGAGGCCGAAGCGCATGCTCATGCGCGCTTGGTCGTCTATACGCGCAATTTGATCAGATATGTGGAAACAGAATCGATATTGATACGAATCAGCACGCACTGACGAATGACTGCCAGTGGCAGGACGTGCGGGGGTCGCTGCGTGACGTTTCGTCAGAGGCGAAGGGGTGTAGGGAGCGAAAATGCGTACCGAGCGATGGCCGCATCAGATTGCAGGCGGAACTCGCCCATGAACGGCGACTGTACCTCTCCATGGTTGTCCGCCGTGCCGGGCCACATCGTCCCAGGTAGCAGCGTCTATTTCGAATCCGCATTCATTTATTGACCACAAGCTTAAATTCGAGATCAACGCACCTCGAGGTAGAAATTAGTGTCCAAGACGGTAGGAGTGGTATCGAACGGCGTGTTGGGGATCGTCTACATACAACAGCTAAGCGTTCGCGCCAGACTGCTGAGAAAATAATGGTACCGGGTCAACGTCTTCCTGGACCCCCACGCTGTGCGAGGCCAGCAGATCGACGAGCTCATCGGGCGTGATGCCCGCGTCGCCCACGCGCGCGAGCATGGTGGACACGGAGTCGCCCGCGTCGGGCACGAGCCCGTCCGGTGCGGCCGCAGTGGCGTTCGGGCGCCCCGCCATGAACGCGATGCGCGGGCCCCCGGCGCAGTTGCGCACACTGACGGCGGCGGCGAATTGGATCCTGGGCATGATTAGAAAGTGTAAATTGCCGACAGAAGTAGGCAGACGCACATGTCCCCATAGGAAACGCCCCACTTGTCGGCAAACACTTTTTGTGACGCGACGATATCATCCAGGCCCTCCTGCTTGCATGGTTAGCTTGTATATTGGGGATATTAGCCGATGCGTACGTTAGCCGCGTAGGCTAATTCGGTCTGGGAGAACGCGATGAGAGAGCCGTCTATGAAAAATCAAGCACTGCGAGAAAATATGCCTCGGTGTTCTGACCTGCGCCGCCGCCCCTAGAATCCACAGATATTCAGCATTTGGATGTTTTTCAAAAGTTCTAAAACCCACCCAAAACTCCCCTGCTTCGTCAGCAAAGGGGAGAAGCCGACGGCATCGTGGAACGAGAGCTATGGTGTTGGCGTCAGTGGGATGAAATTGACAGCGGCGATTCAGACATACTCGGAGGGCATCATGAGCATCGTCCCCTAGGCGCAAAGATTAGGATCACCGAAGTTGCAGCGCTCAGCCCAAACATACCACATATCCCTCCTTCATACCTGATTCGGGTGCTCGATGAATAAGATCGGTGTGCGGAAAAGGGCGACACGCACAGATTGGCTTGGAGATCATCCAATACATCGTACCACACGCAGCACTGGGGAAGGGAGGTTAGGATAAACCGGGGGGAAGGCCGAGATTCAGACATACGGTGCTTGGAGCCTTGCGCCCCTTGCTGCACGCCGCACGGGACGTCGGCGTTGCGGAGACAGCCGAGACATAAACGAGTGAAAGGGTGGAAAGAGTGGAGAACTTCATCGTAAAGGTGGTCGAACGAATCAAAAAGAGTGTGGGGTGGACGTAATGAGGAAACAAATCTCATCCCCGCCCTTATAAAGAGGACTGCTGATAGGGAACGTGGCCACCCTATGTGCCCAATTATTGGATGTGCCTTGGGGTCATTTTTGAAAGGGGGAGTATAATGTATCACCTTGACCGTTCACGGATCATCACCGTCTGGCTGGGTCGATCAAATGTAAGGCCAAGGGACGCGGCGCAGGTTCATGGCAGGGATGTCGCGATTACAGTGTGTGAGGTGGATAGCTAGACACAAGACCCCTGAATGGAGCCAGTACTGTGGGACTAAAATCTGGGCATGACACGGCTGAAGTGGAGATATGTACAGTGATTTCGATATCCAGAAATTTAGTTCGTTCATTCGCAGCACAGATGAAGGACGACAGAGGAAGAGAAGTAAAATGGCCTGGCGCGTTGAGAGGAAGGGCAGAGACATAGAGAGACTTGTGCAGGGGCACGTCGCGTCGATGAAACACAGCACGGTAGCAGGACGGAAGAGAGAGCGCGGACCAGTAGCAGCGTACGCGCGCGGAGCATGCCCTGGCGATTTACAGGTGCTCAGTGCGGGCGACGTACCGATCCAGAGCCCAGGAGGAGGCACATTGCAAATCCCAGCTTCAGTCACATCGTTCATGCCAACATTGACGAGGAAGATAAAAGCCTGAGAGCACAGGGAAGAAGAGAGGATGCGGTCCGCTGTAGCCGGTATGTGCGCATGTTTGCAATACGCTGACACATAGGAGCCGCACTCGCGAGGATCCGACCGAAGATTCAAATGTGTGAAAAATCAGTCCGTATCGTCGATTCAGTCTCCACTTGAATGCAGTTCGTGATTTAGCGATCACAAAAAAGCTGCGTTGGACCCAGGCGGTGCCGGTTCCACGCTGGAGAAGAGTTGATCTTCAACAAACATAATTTTGCACTTATCGTATACTCTCTCTTCTTCAAATATTAGTTCCACTGCAGAGAAAAGAGGAATTAAAAAGGTAGAAAATTCGGTGCTATGCCTCCGCGAGGAGTCGAACCCCGGACTTCCGTTCGCATCGGCATGGTTGCTTATGGAGCCGGGTGACCGCCGTTGATCCTCGAAGGCTTTCTACCCACCACCAGAACTTTAATTTACCATTCTCTATGTCTTGAGTCTTTCCTTGATAGCCAATGTTATATAAACCTTTTTGTTTCGTCCGCGAAATTGTGTACTGTAGCACGGATGTGGACCGAGAAGTGGGTGCCGTATTGGGCGGAGTGCAACACTACTCGGTATTCAGGCTGTCCAAAAAGACGCGTTGTGCCTCCGCGGGAATTCGAGCCTCTCATTCTCGTTGTCTTTTGTTTATCTATAGATGTCTCGCCCCCGTTTCTGTGGTGCAGCTCACCATCAAGAAGCCTGGATTTTATTGGTAACAAACTCTGAGGCTCGAACTTGATCAGATACTGTATTTCAACAGCAACACGCCAAAGGATGTCCAATTTGCCGCAGGATCAAAATCAAAATCAAAATATGGCCGTGCTAGTGCACCACATATGCCTTCGCGGGGAGTCGAACCCCGCCTTCCCGTTGCATTGTGTCCTCGGTGTGACCTAACAGAAGCGGGACGATCGCCACTGATCCTCGAAGGCTTTTCATCCGGTATAAATGAATTGATTTAAGCCCATCCATAATCCGAGAAGAAGAAAAAGACGTTGATCAATCTGTTATGCTGCCGTGCGGGGAGAACTCTCAAACCTGATTTCACTGTCACCTATTTTCTCCCTTTGTCCTGGATTTGTCCTGGACGTTTCGTTGGCTCGTATCACCACTGCCGGCTCAACTCGCATCCTTCCATTCTCTCACCAGCTGCGGAAAAAGTCGCGCTGAAGTTTGAACCAAGGTGGCAGTTCCACGCTCTAGCTCTGGAATCGAGAGTTGATCCTCAATAAACATAATTTGCGTTCCGCATTATATACACCCCAACTCGTATATCCCGTCGTTAATTCTCATCTCATCTCCGGGGCCAGCAGAAAAAAGAAATCCAGCCCTCGGCCCTATGCCTCCGCGGGGAGTCGAACCCCGAACTTCCCGTTGGCATCGGCCTAGCTCTGGCATGGAGCCGGGCGACCGCCGTTGATCCTCGAAGGCTTTCTACCCACTACCAGAACTTTAATTTACTATTCTCTATATCTTGCGTCTTTCTTCGATAGCCGATGTTACACAAACCCCGCTTTTTGTTTCCTCGGCGAAAGTACCACAGATTGGGACCGAGAGCTGTACTTGGGGTGTACTGTACTCTAACGACTGGGTATTCAAGCTGTCCAAAAAGGCAGATCAAAACACGTCGTGTGTCAGCGGGGATTCGGACCCGTCATTTCCGTTGTGATCCAGAGATGCCTCGGCCCCGTTCTGTAGTACACCTCACGCTCACGAAGCGTCCTTGAATTTCATTCTTATTGGAAGCAAACTGCGAAGCTCGCGCCTGATCCGATACCGTATATTAACAGGAACACGCCAAAGGATTTCCAAGATAAAAATAAAAACATTCACCGTAGACTGATGCCACCTTGGGGAGTCGAACCCCACCTTCCCGTTGTATTGTCTCGGTTTGGACTAATAGAAGCGGGACGATCGCCACTGATCCTCGAAGGCTTTTCACCCAGTATAAATGAATTGATTTAGGCTCATCCATTGGAGAAGAAAAAGACGTTGATCAATATATTATGCCGCCGCGGGGGAGAACTCTGATCCTTGAAGTTTCTTCCCCAAGATCAACAAACATCATTTCACCGTCATCTATTTTCTCCCTGTGTCCTGGTTTTTTCCTGAACGTTTTTGCGAGAAAAACACCTCCGTCGTCGACGCGACAGGGAGGAAGGGCTACTGTCGGAACACGTGGCCAGCTGATTAGTAACGTCGTTCCCCCTTGCTTCTGAATCCCACACTCGTAGCAATGGACGAGCTACCTGGCTTTCTAGTTGGAACTGGAGCGCGAGATACTCGAAACTACCGCACTAATGCACCCCCCCGCGCAAACCCCCAGCCTGCTACGTGTCGCCCGCCGTGCGGCGTATGCTCATTGGTAACTTTGCTCCCATTCCGAGTTTCGCCAATATCTTCTGAATCGGACATAGGATCGAGGCGCTGCTCTGGCGCGTGCGCGTAGACGAACACCCCTTACTCGGACATGGCCGCAGCCATTCTGCCCGTCGTAAAATCAAAGCCGCCGAGCTTCCTCCGCCACCTCTTCCTCGACTCTGGTCCCAGGCCGAGGCAACCAAGTCCTCAAACTCTACACCGGACTCGTCACCTTAGCCGGCCGCTTCTGGACCCCCGCATCCTCCCCCTCCTCGCACATACACAGCTCCACGTCCCTCCGGCGGGTCCCGCTCCATCGACATAGCGCACCCCCTCTTCGTCTCGATCACGCATCTAGACATATTCGACGCCATCACCGGCGAGGAGCCACACGCGCGCCTGCCCGCGCTCACGCATCTGTGCCTGAACAACGTGGTGCCGTTGGCCACGATAAAGATGCTGCTGGCTGACTGCGCACGGCTACAACTCCTCGTCGAGCTGTGGCCGTACACGCCGCACTCCTGGGCGGAGGCCCGACGCGCGCTTTGGTCGGGCTGTATCGCAACCATTGGGGGACGAAGCGTGGGGCCACCCTGACTTCTGGGTGTGCGCGGAAGAGGAGGAGGGAGGTCCAAGGTAATTTCCTGTCGGCGTTCATTTACGAATTGGAGTTGAGGATAATACCACTGATCCGTGGGTGTAGCGCCCTGCTATTGGTTGGACGAGACTCTGTACAAGAGCAGGAGCACCAAGCGTCGCTTTCAGACGGATAGCGTCATTTGCGCGTCCTCCAGTATACTCTGACAAGTTTGTCCTCCCCGCTTTTCTTCTACATTCGGATATGGTGCAATGGATAGCGCGGTCTCGTAAATCCCCGTATGGGCCGGGATGAGGCAGATCGAGGTTCGATTCCTTGTGTCCGTGACTTTTTGCTTTCAATCTTCCGTTCATTCATTCTTTTCGCATGCATCAGCGTGCGACGAGTTGCCGGATTGCGTGCGTGGCGCGGCAGTGCTTCTTTTAATGCGATTCGCGTCAAGTTGCTAAGTTGGGTTGAAGAGAACATTAGGTAGGTGGTCACATTGCATTCGTCCTGCCCTACTGAATGCTCGAATCCGTCTGTAGAGAATGTGCTTGTGCGCTGGGTGGGCAACTGTTCGGGTTATCGCAACCCCTAAAACCGACTCTCTTCTCCCTCCTGTTCATCGCTCTCCAGGTACGCTCCAACTATTAGTCCCCTTCCTCTTCTAATCAGCGACAGCATCGACTCGTCTAGCAATACGCCAAGCCGTGACCATCGAAAGTGAAATCAGGAAGAATCAGGGAACTCCACCACTTACTCTCTACTTAGACAGCCACCCTACTCTTCTTCCGTTCGTACGTTTACCTCACATATAATAAAAACTCACCAGAATCTTATTTTGACCCACTCTTCTCCATAGACTCCCGATATGATCTCCGCGCAGAAAGCCGCCGCGTTCCCTCGCGTATCCTCGGTGCGATCTTCCGCGCCGCGAGACTGGATTCACAGGATGTAGGGCGCGGCGTTATTCCGGAGGCGCGGGTGGTGGGCAGTTGCGTCGGCGGATGTCCGTCTCCGTCTCGCCATTCGATGAAAGCCCCGCGACGGATGCGTGGCTCCAGCTGTATCTCCAACGATCGAAGGGTGCGCTGTTGAGCGTTGAGGTGAGTGCGACTAGTACTCGTGCTGTGCAGTGCAGGGATGCTGTGCCCCGCGTGTACAACCTTCGCATTCGGAACGGTAGTTTAGCCTTTCCCTTCCCGGTGTTGGCTGGGCTGGACTTCTGATGCATATGCACTCGACACATTCGTCGAATTTGTTCAATCGAGAAATCGAGCAGAGCTATGATGGCATTCTTACTTTCGTTGCGCTCTGAGCAAATATCCTTGGCTAGTCCGCAACAGCGGAACTAGCCAACGGCTGGTTTAGGAACGGTCTGAACACAGTGTATGGCGCTCGGGTTGCCTGCGCCGTACAACCAATCTCCTCTCCCGCCCAGGTTCCTCCTCCGCACGGACCGCAGGATCACAGAGACGATGGAGTGGATCCACGAGTATGGCACGGAGCAGATCCACCACGCATACCCGATTTCATTTGGATTTGGAGAACACGACGCCCGGCGCACGGCGGTGTTCTGGAGGATCGAATTCGGTCAGTGGCGTTCGCGCGGGGCTACAAATGAAATAGGCGGCTAACTTGGTTTGGCAATTGATTTTCGCAGGCGACACCATCCTCGCCCGATTCGAAATTCCCGCCTTCATCTTCAACGAGCGGCCGTTCGAGATCACCCCCGAGCTCGTCTTCGCGGGGATTCTGCATTCTCTGGCGAACGATGCGCCGGTAAGTGTACACAGCAGCACGGACTGCGCTTTCGCGGGCGGTGACCTGTATTACGTCGAGGAATTAGAGTTCGTGGTGCACGGGCAGCCCATCGAGCGCGTCGATGCGCGTCAGGGCCAGCCGTGCGGCTGTCCCTCAGGCTCGTGTCCGGCCTATGTTCGGTATCCCGGGCCCGCCTTCTGCACTCACTGCGTCAGACATTCCCCGCAACATGCGTAAGATCAGTGGTTGAATGAGCATTGAAGGCAAGTGCGCACCGTTATTACCGCCAGTCGTGAGTTAACACCCTGGCAGTGAATCGTGGTGCCCATGCCTTCCCATCAGCCGAAACATTGGATCCAATCCTCTCCCGTGCGGAATGAATTATGCACAATCTCTCCTTCGGAAATTATTGCGCATTTGTGTCGATACCCCGTTGTAGTGAGTAGAAGTCAGTCGGTACTCTCATATTCGCCGGATGGTTGTGGTCCGCGCGTCACAGGACGGCAGCAATCACTTCTCCATCTGCGTGGAATTTGTGGTATGTATGGGGACGAGGATCGGGGTAGCACTGTAGCAGAATATATTATAGGTATTTTAACAGACTACGCCACAAGAACCATCATTGTCGCCCCGTGCGAGAACAAAAAAAAGTACAAGGAACAACAGTAACCAAGGTAATGCGTTGCGTGCGGTTGGCTGGGGGATTGCTTGTTGTAACAATACAAGGTCCTATAAGGACCCACACTGCCAACTTGGACTACCGACATTTTGGATGATTGATGGGCGAAATAAGATTGTCAGAGGACGAAATCAGCTCGTTTGTTTTCTCGTTTCGTTTCCAGCCATGCGTTCTCTCAACGTTGCTCGCTCTCCCAACGTTGCTTTGTACCGTGACCTGAAATACCCTTCGGAGGAAGGACGTTTGGGATTTACCCAACTGTGGAAGCAGCTCTGAATCGAGATACTAGTCTATCTCTGACCTTCATAAATTAATCAACTTGCTGTGAGGCTCGGGCATCGGCGCTCAACGCTGAATCGCAACAGAAAAGTTTGCCCGATTTAGTTATCGTCATAAGGCAAAAACCGCGAGTCCATTCCTCATGAACCATTATGACTTGACGTTCAGTCGTCGGTATGGTGGTTGAGTCCAAGGAGCATGTTTCGTTTATCCCCAGCATTACTCCTGACTTGCTTGACCTTCGGTGATCTTATCTCGGAATAATCCGATGATCTTCAAATCTAGTGCGTCCAACGGTTCATTTTGTCTTAGACGAGAGGCCAGCCGGAACGTATGCAAATATACTGTCGTTGGATTAAAGCACGAAGTTTAGTTAGTCTCTCCTGGATGGGCGCTTCGGCGCTTCAACCTGCACCTATTTACCTGGCAAGAAACAGACTTTCAAAATGGTTAAAATTCTCGGACCGATTAATTTTTCACGGCGCGGTTCGTAATCGTAATCCGTAGCGAATTTCAAGGAACGCACGAACAATGAGTCGCATATAGTGTACTACAAAATACTAAGAACATTCGAACACGGCCATGGTATTATTTACTTACACCACACGTATCATTCACCCCAAAACTCCAGTATTTGTCCTCATGTGGTTGTCTCCTTTTTCTCCACCTCCACAGACCGTGCACCATATTTGAGCAGAGCCTGAAAAATTTCCGTGTGACCAAGCTTGGATGCAATCTGCAATGCGCTGCCATCCTCTCCACCGGCTGCATTGGGGTCAGCTCCATTCTCGAGCAGCATCTGAACGACCTCAGCGTGTCCCTTTCTGGATGCTGCATACAAAGGGGCACCATTTTCCCCGTCGATGTCTGCACCATTGTCAAGGAGGAGGCGGACAAGCTCTGTTCTGTGTGCGGGTACTTCATCCCCGTAGAATCGGAAGTCTGATTCCCAGGATGCAGCGGCCTGCAACGCACTACCATATTTCCCACCCATTACATTGGCATCGGCACCATTCTCAAGGAGACGACGAACGATTTCGGTGTGGCCATATGCCGATGCGGCCTGTAATGCGGTGCCATCTTCTGCGCCAGCTCTGTTGGCGTCGGCCCCATTCTCCAGGAGGATTTGAACGATTTCGGTGTACCCTTTCCTGGACGCCGCGCACAACGGGCCGCCATTTTCTCCATTGATTTGGGCGCCCTTCTCGAGGAGAAGACAGACCAGCTCCTTCCTGTGAGTGTCTTCTGGCCGATATCGAACGAATCCAGACTTATTTTCTTCCCAGGATACCGCCGCCTCCAATGCAGTCCCGTATTTCCGTCCTGCTGTCGCGTTGATATCAGCACCGTTATTAAGCAGAAGACGCGCAATCTCTGTGTGACCAAATGCGCAGGCGGCCTGCAACATGCTGCCGTCTTCTCCGAAGGCTGCATTAGGGCTAGCACCCCGCTCTAGGAGCATTTGAACCACCTCTGCGGGTCCTGACTCAGATGCTCCCCGCAGGGCACGGCTGTACTCTCCCTCGGAACCTACACCCTTTTCGAGGAGGAGGCGAACAAGGTCTGTCTTTTGCACGGCCACCCGTTTGCGATATTCTGGATCTGACACTAGGTGCCCCAACCAAGATGCAGCGGCTTGCAATGCACCATTTGTGACATGGGCCCCGTGTTCAAGGAGAAACTGGACAGTCTCTGTCTGGAGATTTGCGGATGCGGCCTGCAATGCATCGCCCACTGCATTGACCTCGGCACCGTTCTCGAGGAGGAAACGGACAAGGTTTATGTTGCCCCAACGGGATGCTGCGCACAAAGCGCCACCATTATTCATATTAATATCCGCACCGTTTTTGAGGAGGAGTTGAACGATTTCCGGGTGGCCCCAGCATGCGGCTTCCAATGCACTTTCGTCGTTTTCCCCACCGGCGGCATTGATATCAGCACCGTTATCCAGTAGTATCTGGACGACCTCTATGTGGCCTGCCCTGGATGCTGCCCTCAATGCGGCGTCCTTTCCCCGCCCGACATCAGCACCATTCTCGAGAAGAACACAGACAAGCTCTGTCCTGCGTGGCACCATCTCCGTCGTATATTCTGGATTCCAATTTGATTGGAATAAGTTTCCTTGCCAGGATGCGGCAGCCTCCAATGCGCCGCCGTCAACATTAGCACCATTTTGGAGAAGAAACCGGACAATTTGTGTGTGGCCAGATGCGCACGCAGCCTGCAACGCACTGCCGCATGTTACATCCTTTTCATTGGTCTCAGCACCTTTTTCGAGCAGAAGACTGACAATATTCAGGTGGCCCTGTTTGCATGCTGCACGCAACGCACGACCGTTTTCTCTGGCGATGTCTGTGCCATGCTCCAAGAGGAGCTGAACGATTTCCGCGTGACCCGCCCCGGATGCGCCTTCCAACGCACTGCCATATTTTCCATCAGCTGTGTTGCTGTCTGCACCCTTCTCAAGCAAGAGACGGACAATAGCTACGTGGCCCTGTTTGCATGCTACGCGCAACGGGCCACCATTATTGCTATCAATGTCGGCACCCTTCTTGAGAAAGAGCTGAACGATTTCCATGTGACCATGAGCAGATGCGCCTAACAGTACACTTCCATCTTCTC